AATACCTCAATCATGGAATTAAACAACACCCATGAACAATCATTCAATTCATATAACAAAAACTACATGGTAAATAGTTAGGGTTTCACAACACCCAAGTGAAAAGAGGAAACTAATCCAAGCTAGAAAGGGGAGAAACAAAAGGGGAAGAGGTAGAAACCATCATGGAGATGCTTCCAATCTTCTTTGCACTTGTACTGATCTTCTCTTGAGGAGAATCCTCCCAATTCACCACTTTGAGCAAACCCTAGCCTTCCTTCTCCTTTGGTTCGTTCTTTCTCTCTCTAAAAGCTGAAGGAGACACTTTCTCACTCTTGGGCTCTCTCTTCTCTCTTCCTTTCAGCTCTCCTTTTAAACAGGGATTGGGCTCAGTTCACGGCCTCATTTCACGGCCATGAACTCTTGAACGCGTCCGTGAACTTAAGGCTTGCGTCGAAATGCCCCGCTTCGCTTGCTCAGGTTCACGGCAACAGCTCCAGTTCACGGTCTTAGTGACCGTGAACTCACCTGGCGTCAGTAACATAGGATTTTGCCCTGGACGCCTTGATGTTCACGGGCAACAGCTCTTCTTCACGGTCTAAGCAAACCGTGAACTTCCAAGAGAAACAGTAAACAACCGGTTTTTCACCTCTTCTCCCGATTTTTGTTCCTTTTCGTCCAACTTTCGACTTCGGGGCTGGTTTTACCTGTTAAATCCTAAAACATGCTAAGACACAAGAAACATTGCGTAAAACAACCCTTTTAGGAGCACAATTGCCACAAACGCCTAATGAAAATGGGGATAAAATATGTACAATTAGGCCCGAATCATTTATATAAAAGGCCAATACTATGATCATATAGTTGTCAATCTCATTTTATCGACGAAGCACCAAGGAGAAGAGAGGAATCGCCATTGGTAGTCTAAATTTTACAAGGCTATTATATTGATCATTTCTTTCATTTCATGTAAATTTTTATTATGACTGAAGTGATATTACCTCTAGCCTTAAATTGCAGCAAGGAATAATTGTTTGGATTAATATGCACTGATGCAAATTGTCATGTAGCTGCCACGAAGGAGTAAGAGAGGACCAATCAATGTATTTGCTGTCGAGAATGATAAGAATTGTGATAATGGAGAGGTTACATGACGATTGACTTATATATATTGAAGAGATAGAAAGTACAGAGTTGTAAGTCATTTGTATGTTTAGTGTAGTAGAGTGATTAGAAGTGATTTGCTAGGATTTTTCAGTGGTAGGGATATTGACAAAAGTTGTTATCTGTTGGTGTTTCCAGACATATATTGCTTGCCTGTTTCTTTTGTTTGTATCTGAGATTTCTACAACAGATTGGATGTTTTGTATTTCTTTTCTTTTTTCTGACATTTTAATTAACAAAACTATTTAACAGGAAAAAAACTGGCTGGTGCATTCTATAGACTTTGGTCATTGTTGGCTTTGGTTTTCTCGCCAGGGATTCAACGCCTTTGGTGTCACTGTGGTTTTTGGTCTTAGGGAAATCCTTATTGGGGTTTCTTTATGAAATCTCTTGGTAGCTTCCATTTTCACCATTAGGAATTGGAGACAGGTAAGCATTCCTTTGGGTTTTTGGCAATAGTGGCTAGATTTAAAGCTAATGGCTTGGTTTGGATTCTCCTTTAGATTATTATGCAATGAGATAATGACTTCCCATCATGCAATGAGATAATGACTTCCTATCAAATTATTATGGTGTTTTTGACCTACCTCCGACTATCGTCGCAGACATGCTAATGAGTAATATCACTATATCAGTCAAAATCAAAGTATCAATTTCTGAGACTACGTCCAACAAAAGGACCGGGTAATATGCTAGTATATTAATAATATATGAGAATATTTGGTTACCACTAAACTGGAAATTCATACGATCAAAGAAAGAACATCATGTCTATATAGTGTTTGGTCAATGCATGAAACTTCTTTTGTGAAATTGAGTCCCACCTCTTGTGATTTTTTAGCTAGTGTTTTGGTGATTTTGATTTATTTAAATAGAAATAAAAGGGAAATTTTTATGTTTTCAACTTTTGGGGGGGAAAAGATGAGAAAGCTTGGTGTTTTCATTTTTTGGAAAGGAAAGAAGATGGAAACTTGAATGCTTTTAATTTATGGTAAGAAAAATGAGGAAATTTTTGGTGTTTTCCAATTTTGGGTAAAAAGAAAGAAGAAAATATTTTAGTGCTTTTAACTTTTTGGCGTTGCAACTTTCAAAATTTTAGTGTTTCAAACATGAATCTTGAATTTTATATGGATGCCAATATTAGTTGACTATATAACCTTATATGGAATGACCAATTGACTATATCAAATTTGAGAACATATCAAGAGTTATCTCATTTTCAATATAGTATCACTCGAACTATCTCAAATAAATATTATTGCATATTATAAACTATATACTTAATTACTTATTAATTTGACTATCATAATGCTTACCTATGATGGTTTAGGTGTTTAACATTTAGAGACTAAGACATTGTCGTACACCTTATTATTGTCTTGTAGGGAATGTCTAATTGGATATAGTAGACTTGAGAACATATAATTAATGAGCTATCTTATCTTAATAACGTCACTCGAACTATCTCAAATGCGGGTTATTTTACCTTATAGATCATATACTTAATTATCTACCAATGTGATTGTCACAATCTTTTATATTTAAGAGTTTAGCATTTAGTAACTAAGAGTCTAAGACATTGTCTATAGTAAACCTAATTGTAGACGTATAGGGCATGACTAATTGGCTACAATAGATTTGAGAACCTATTATGAGTCATCTTATCAAAATAAACTAATCGCTTATGTTCTATACCTCTACATTTGTTGCACCTTCTGCACTACATGATTGTTATTACAATATTAAAGTAAAAATTTGGTCAATTTAAGGCGTGCTCGAGTTGTATTTTAGTTTCAAAATAAGGGTCAAGATTGGTATGTTAAGTCATACCATTGCAATAACTCAATCATCTAAAAGAATATAAAATTAATTTAATACATTACTTTTTTTTTAACTTTATAAGTACTTACACAAAAAGTCTTATAAGTTCATAAATAAGGAAATAGGTTCTATGAAAATTGAAAAATAATGTTTTTAGTGTAATAAATAAAGAGTGAGTTGTAACTAGTAAAGAGTAAAATATACAGTACGCTGATCCGAGCAACCTGCAACCCGATCTGCTCACAAAATATTTGACGCCCAACCCGATGAATCCATAACCCGACTGACCAGCAACCCAATGAACTAGTAACCCGACTGACCCATAATCCGACCAACTCGTAACCTGACTAACTAGTAACCCGATAATCCAAAACCCGACTAACCCGTAACCCAACTGAACCTTACCGAACGTGCAATGGATGATAATGAGGATTGAATGCAGAATTAGTAGTCAAAAGTTGGGAAATAGATTGTGTATCCAACACAAATCCCACCTCTTGGGGGTGAAATTTTCAAGTCCGTTGAATCTATGGATGGTCCTTCAAAATATGTGAGCCCACAAATTGTATCCCTCATAAATTCCATCAAACAAACAATAAATTTGGTCCAAAGTCCAAGAGAGTAGGGTTTTAATTTAGGTTAAATACACTTGTATATCCAAAACTTTCACGGTTGTGCCAATAATATCCAAATTTCCCAAAATACCACTTATATCCAATTCCTTCACATTCTTTAACGGTGTTTTTGGATATACAAGTGTATTTAACTAAAAATATATTGGGAAATGAATAGATTTGGCAAAGAACAACTTTAAAACATGGATATAAGTAATATTCCGGGAAATTTGGATATTATTGGCACAACCGTGAAAGTTTTGGATATACAAGTGCATTAAACCTTTAATTTATAAACTAAATCCATGATAAAACCTGTGGGATGGGATACGGTCACTTCCCAATAGGGGTTGTGAGATTCACAGCCAAGGGTAATTTGGGTATAACCAAAAAAATATTTCTTAATTAATTTTTTGTATTAATTACATATTGGAAATAAAAAACCCATATTTAATACATGCTTTTTTTAAAAAAACCCTACAATTAATACACTTATATCTCTCTCTATCTCTCTTTGTACTTTTTCCAGTAGTCTCTTCGCTCCGACCGCCAAACTTACTCCGACCGTCAGACTTTTTTCCGGTGACAGCCTTCAATCAGACTCACTACGGCCACCTGCAAAAAAGTATAACTTCGTGAGTACGCTAGTGGTAGTGATTTTTATCTAGCGTACAGTGGTACTTAGGGGTGGTATTCGGTCGGTAACTGGTAAACCGGTTAACGAATTTACCGATTTCAGTATACCGACAGTGGGTAATTTGGAATCGATTATCGATACCGATTTGTAACCGGTTTACCGTTTACCGAATTACCGGTAAACGGTTACAAACCGGTTTACCGAAATACCGTAAGGAACGACGGCGGGCGGTTTCTCGGTTCGGTTGTTGGTTGTTGTTGGCTGGCTGTGGCTCCGCCTGACCGCCAGTCCGCCTCGCCTCGTGTCCTCCTCGCCTCTCAGACCCCAGTCCTCCTCGCCATTACTCCTCTTCCATTCCTCTGCCACCGCTAGTCTCCCTCCCAACCTTGCTCGGTTGCTCCTGCCTCCTTGCCCCTAGGAGTTTTGCTTTGGACATCAGCAAGCCAGCCTTGTTGGTGTAGGTGGGTGAATTATTGGACAGCAGCAGGCAAGCAAAGGAAAGGGAGCAAGGTCAATTATAGTTTTTACTTATGCATTGCCATTGGTACACTCTCCCTCCTGCTACTGCTACTGCAGTCATGGGAGTGGAGACTTCTCACAGTTCACCATCCCAAAGTTGTTCCACAGACTTATACGCGCCATAACTCTCACTCATAAACACTGTACCTTTAATCAGCCTTTCCTGCAAAAACCAGAACACAAAAGAATGAGGTCTGCAGTTATATATAGCTCTCACTGTCGATGACGACCTTCTCAACTGCTCAGCCAAGTATGGAATAAGTTGTTCAGGGTGCACAAAACGCATTTAACAAATAGCCTACGCTGTTCAATCGGTGCCAAGGCGTCGAAACTAAAAGTCCACTTGCCTGCTCAATTTCAGCAAAATTGGGAAGCAAATTATCAGGGATCGACCAGTCCAGAACATCAAAGTTCTCCTTGATCATGTTCTCGTTTGTGCTCTTTGGCAGTACACTGTGCCCCGCTTGTATTCCACATCGCAGGGCTACTTGGGTAGGGGTCTTCCCTAATTTTTCTGCAACTGTGTTGAGAACCGGATTCTTCAGAACCTCGGTCTTAATATTTCCCGGAGAGCCCAGTGGCGAATAGCCCTGCAAAAGACTTGGATCATGAACCCTTTTCCTAGTAGTGGCTGCTGCTACGCCTTGGAGTGCTGCGACGCCGGCGACGAGTTGCCGCTGCTTCTGCTTTCTCCCGCCGCTGCCGCCAACTGAATGTGAAGCAGGGAGGGAGTCCAGGTGATTGGACGGTAAAACGTCGCGTTTCAGTTTCGGTAATACCAACTTACCGTCGGTATTTACCGAGACTGGGGGCGGTAAATTGGATGTCCCAAGCCACCCTCGAATACCGTTACCGTCGGTAATCGGTTTACTGTTTACCGCCGGTTACCGGTTCGGTAAAACGGTAAACCGATTACCGGGTTACCGTTTGTCAGCCCTAGTGGTACTGGTACTCGATCTACTAGTGGTACTGGTACGAAACCAGTGAGTAGTGGTAGCGTACCACTAAAGACTAACACAAAAAACCACATTTGGAATCTGAAAAATCACAGATCTGAAAAAAAAAATATTAGGAGATGAGTTAAGGGAAAGGCAGGGAGAGGCGGTGACCTTGTGGCGGCACCGTGAAGACAGGAGGTGGTGAGAGGCGGAGGAAGGGGGAGGCAGAGGTGGCGACAGTGGTGTAAAGACGGCGACAAGCGCGGCTGGGGGGCGACGAGGGCAGCGGGGACGGCGGGGACAACGTCGGCCTGAGGAGGAAGGCGGTCGCGACAACGATGGTGGAGGTCTGCGTGGTGATTGAGGTCGACGATGATGGAGGTCGGTGGTGGAGCTCTTGACGGCTAGGGTTTTTTGTTAGAGATAGGTGAGAGGGGAAGAGGAGGGAGACGCAGGAAATTGGGGGGAGGATTTGATTTTTTGTTGTTGTTGTTGTTGTTAATAAAGAGTATTTATATGGAAAATGGAAAGGATCTCATGTGGTAAGTTTTCCATTCCGAAATTGCCATTGGTTTAATCTTAATCATTAATTAAAAAAAAGGGCTAATACCTTATTTTGGCCCGAACTATGATCATATAATCAACTTTGGCCCGTGGTTTCAGAAATTAACATCCTGGCCTCAACTATGCAGCATATAGACTCAATTGGCCCGACACATAGTTTGACCGTCAATTTGGACGGTCAACTCCGTCGACCGTTAGTCAACACGCCATGTCATTGCCTAGTCAGCCTAAAAATCATTAAAAAAATTATTTATTATCAAATTAACCAAAAATAAATTATTAAAAACATAAAATAATTTTTTATTTTATTTTTTAGATAATTTGAAAATGATAAATTTTATAAATTAACCAAAAATTATCAAATTATTTTATATTTTTAAAACATCCCAAAAAATATAATTTATATCATATTTTTTAAATTTATAAAATTTAATTTGATAATTTTGGTTACTTTATAAAATTTACCATTTCCAAATATCCCAAAAAAAATATTTATATTTTAGAATTTTATTTTTTGGTTAATTGGAAAATGATAAATAATAGAAATTAGGAAAATCATTTGAATTTGAATTTTTTTAATAATTTTTATGCTGACTAGGCAATGACATGGCATGTTGACCGTCCAAATTGACGGTCAAACGATGTGACGGGCCAATTGAGTCTATATGCTGCATAATTGAGGTCAGGATGTTAATTTCTGAAACCACGTGCCAAAGTTGATTATATGGTCATAGTTCGGGCCAAAATAAGGTATTAACCCAAAAAAAAGAGACAGGAGAGAGTACGTATCCGATGGCCACAAAGTTGGTTGTAAATCTCACAACCCCCTTAGGGGTTGTCACCGTATCTCATCCCAAAACCTGTTAGAAATAAAGGGAATTAGGACTTGGTCTCATTACTTTTATGATTACTTGGTTAGATTATTATTATTATTAGTGGCAGCGTAAGCAACTAAATTATAGTGGTTAGTAAATACTTCGTTTAATACACGTATATGTACCCGTACGTATTTTATCCATTTAAACCTTTCGTATTCATATTATTCTCAAGTCATTTCATTTTCTTTCGTTCATTTGATGACTCCCGTACTAAACACGTACAAAACAGTATCTTGAGTGATGAGATCAGGGATATGATAGATAGGGTTGGACCTATCTTGGTTCACTTCTCGGGTCACACATCATGGCTCATACTTGTTGTGGATTAAGGTTTGGGTTTCGTCTTAATGAAATAATACATGTGTTTTATCAACAAAAAAAATTTCCTAAATCCCCCATTGTATTCTGCTCAATCTCAATTCTAAACCCTAAATTTCAATAGTTGTTTTAAAAACCTTGAAGCAAACGAGGCCTTCCTATGCACTAAAGCTATCATTCTTTATACTCAAATAACACATGAATAATAGATTGGTTTTCATAGGGTATGTCATGGCCATATACTGTTTTATTAAAGACTTGCTCCCCTGAGAAAGAAGAAACAAAAAGAAAGGAAACGGGACCAACAAAAAAGCAGGCCACGGCGGTTTCCAGCAGATGACATCAAATGCTGAGAGATAGAAGAGTAAATCTGTATACTTATAAGTGTCACAAACGGGGAAGAGCAGAAAGTAATACCCTCTGCAAATAAATGAAAGAATGAAACAAGAAAACTTTAACCTACGATTCTAAGCTATGCAAATATTTGCTGGATGACGATCTCTGCATTTCCATTGTACTGTGCAAGAAGATGGATGGCGTCAGCCCTTGGCAAGGCGAGAAACTCCTGCATTATTATTATTATTATTATTATTGTCATTAGTTTTGGAAAACAAAATCAGCAACAGGGATTCCCATGCAAGTGACTTGTGTAATGAGTTTCCAAACTTACCATCACTTTGAGTATTGCGCTTTCAGCACAGACATCTCTCGACAAGTCTTGAGTGGGACTTGTACCATCTTCAGGCAACCTCGCACTTGAAGATGTCGTAACTTGGGAGGAACCCTGGGCAGAGTTATCTGCACTGGACCTCGACATGGAGCAAGCAGTGAGCAAAGGTGTCTCGAGTTCTTTCAGAGAGTCTATCCTCATAAGACTCTCGAAGCGATCTTTACACATTTGCAGCTTAAACCACTCATTGTGTGTGTGTATAGCAGCTCGCATTAACCTCATGAGTTGTGGTTCTTCAATGCCAAGCCTTTGACCAATTGCCAGCTAAACACGAAGGAACTTTAATGATCCTCTTATATGCAGAAGAACCTTCAACCCATTACTCAATGCATCAATGTATACCTGGAGTGAATTTGCAAGAGCATTTAAAGGTAAGCATTTTCCAAGCATCTGTTCCTGTGGACGGAGTAACACAACCAGAGTCTCCTTCAAAGGCTTCAGTAGAGAAGGATCACTTGCTGCTAAGGGACCCATGTGCGAGCAGGCCATCTTCAAAGCACCTGACAGATCACCAGCACTGACCAGCTTGAGGAATTCAACCTGAAATGACATTGCAACAGTGAGAATAGACAAACCATACCTTGTAACCCATATCCCGACAATTAAACTGGTCTGCAATGTGAGTTCCGCGACCTTAAAAGAATGACAGTTTCTAACCTGTTTTAACTGGAAGAGCAAGGCATGATTCTGGGAAAAGAAGTTTGGATCCAAAGCATTAACTCGTTCCACAACCTCTGTAGCCATGCCTCTAACTGCTAGATCCTTGATTCCCAGCACAATCTCATACTTATCATCCATGTTATTTAGGTCTTCTGTGGAATGATTTTCTACTACCTGCATAAAAATCTCTCATTAAAGCTGCATTTTCGAGAACCAATTACAAGAACACCTACCAGCATACCTGCTGTTCTCCACTGATGTTTGTCCGGGCAATGACTGCATCAAGGTCTTGCTTGCTGCAAGCACTGTAAGCTACACCAGAGAGATATTCCTGCTCATCCTGCCGACCCCTCCAGCGCTTGCGTTTGCTCCTCTCTCCGCTTGTGTAGTTTCTACTTCTTTGAGGATGTTTTGATATTTCAGGTTGCTGTACTTCACTTGTGCTGCAATCTTCACAATTGCCAGTTGATTCAGAAGCATGTCTCATCTCAATATCAGTTTCTGGCCGGCTATTGGCATCAATATCATTCTCTGAAGAAACATCCAGGTGCATTGTGATTACAGAATTTTCACCATCTGAGGGTACACTGGTAGCCTGGTCCACGTCAAGAGAATAGTTTCGAGATGGCAAGTGACCGGGCTCGGATTGATTTACTTTGCATTCTAAGATGAAAGGAGTTGGATGTAATGTGAGACAACAAGTACTAGATCAAGATAAAAATAAGCAACCTTTAAAATGATAATTAAAGACAGCATAATGCAGTATAAGTTTGGGAGTCACCAGCAGATGCCACAAAGCCCGTGCGAACGATGCCTCTATAAACACAATATTCTCGAACAAGTTCATCTAGCATGGGCATGTCCAATTTCGTTCGGCATATTTCATTCTGCAAAAGAAAAGTAAAATGACACCAGTTTAATGAATACAGTTGGGTAATCATGTTACTTGCTTAAATAACAAGCTTGTGCCAGCCAACCTAAAGAACCTCAAAACTACACAATCTATTCACTTGTATCGAAATTGTAATCACATTGGAACCAAATATTTCAATACTAGGGAAATTTCAAGTTCCGTGTTGCTCAGAGTAGGACAGAAATGTTACGTGAAGCTAAGCTTCAGAGGGACATATTCAGAGGAGCAAAGAGACTAGAAGGTTCGTAAGCTAAAATTTTCTTAGAAATGTGAATATAGACAACCAGGCAACGAGCAGCCAAAAGTCTTTCTCTCCCCTCGCCTGACAGGGTATGCTGACTCCATAATGTCAAGCACGACCAAACTATGAAAAGTAGTAGACTTTACGATACTCATATTTACAATTGCTTGAGATAGAGGACAA